ACGGACACTTCAGAAGCTTATCATTTAACTCGCTCTAAAATTTACCTTCATTTTGTAACCATTTATGGCATTATACTCATCAATCTTTTGTTTTTTTTGTTTTTGAGCCGCTGTTCGCCTTGTGATCATTTGAGGACTTCTGAAATCTGATGCAGCGTAAACAGGATGACTATTTTTGCCCAATGGTAATCTCATGAAGGTAAGGAGATCCTGTGTGGGTGGGCTGTTGGGTGCAAAGGGGATTGTGCGATACAGTAATCCCAGTTTTACAAATAGTTCCTTGATTGTCCTCAAGGCGCGCAACGTCATTTTTTACTATTACGTTTTTAATTTCCATGCATTTTCCCGTGATCGCTATTTTCTCACTGCATAAGTACGGAACAGTTTTTCCCCCATGTTGGATCACAGCCTTCCTGTTTCTTAATGGAAACAATGTCAGTGAAACCTCCTGAAACGTCTTTCATGGAATTCTTTGATTCGAACTCGTGGAACTGGAACTCGATCTTCCCCACTCAAAGTCGTTACTAGTTATTCCTCCCACGTATTCGAACTGTTTGTTTTCTATAGGTCACCACCACACATCATCGATAAAGCTTCCTTGAGGAGTGTGGGTGGTTAGTTGACTGATCCTTTGGACCACCCCTCCCCTTTGTAGCTTTGATTGCTTAGCAGTTCATCCGGGCACTAACTTCATAGTATAGTCCTCCCTCACTCAGGGCACGACATCGTTGTGATGATCACACGGGAGGGGTCGTATTTAGTCAGAGAAAAAAATTCTTGATAGTTGATTTCTCTTGTTTCGTGGAACTATGGGGGGGGGTCGTATTTGGTCGTTGTTGGGAGAGGGACTGCCAAAGATCTATACAACTATTTCCGACAGTTTAAAATGATAGTTAAATCCTAACGACCTTCCCCCTCCCTGCTGCTCGAAGGGAATTTCTTGGCTGAAAAAAGTGGTAGGAAGTTGGGAAAATCTAGGAAAGTGGTAGGTAGCATGGGGAGGATAGGTCGTATTTGAGGAATGGAATTAGGTGAGTCGTATTTTTCAGGAAATGATCACAACACGATAGCGTACCCTGCGCTAACCATACTGATGAGCACAGAGGAAGGGCTACTTTTGCTCGGCTTCCGTCAAAGGACACGTATGGAACGGAAGCTGGGCTTCCTCTCCGCTTTCCGCCCCCTCGTTATTTCTAATTTGTCGATTTTTCAACACAGCAATTATTTCTTCAATTTCATCGCTTTTAATGATTTTTCTTCGTTGGAGAAGGCCATAAAGAGGCCCGCAGCTACTCTTTTAGGATTAAGCCTGGGAAAGGATAGGGATCACCACCTTGCAGCGAGGTGGAGTTCGGATGATCACAGCCACCTCAGCCGCTCTACTTTCGGTGCGTGGCCCCTCCAACTACGTTACGCCGCTGGTCCCATACTCGTTAATTGTCAGGAGATCGCATGCTTATAGTGTTCTCTCATGCTCGTTCCCATTCCTCCTCATTATGTCACTTCTCAGCGCCATTATTCCGACCACATTTTTCTTCCTTCAGCGAGCTTCATCTCGTGTATGCATAATCCCTAATGGTAACAATTTCAGCTCATTATTGGGGCGATCGATGGACCGTCTACGGCGATCCATTCGACAGTCATTTCGTAGAGGAGGACGGCGTAGCCCTGAAAGTAGCACGCCTTCAGAACTTGTCACAACATCAAATGGCGCAGGTGGTCACAAACAGGAGCAGTGGCAACCTGATGAAGCTGCTGTACGAGCTGGGTTATGTCACTTCACTGTCAAGGTCCGCTTTTGTGAATTTTTCTTTTGTTGTGTTGGTGTTTTTCTTGAATTGCTTTTATTTCAGTATTTGGGAGCAGTGGAGGTTTACGAATCTCGTGGTATGCAAG